AGTCTTGCAACAAGATGCTTCATTTGGTTTTTAGTTCTTTCAATTTCAGAAATGCCAAGCAAGTTGTCTCTTTTTATTCTCTGACTCCAGCTCTTTGCACATTCCTTCATGATACTTTGCTTTGTTTTCTGGAGCTGGCCTTTGAAATCTTCTGTTCAGCTCTTTAATTTCTGAATCTCTTCCCTATTTTGGCTTCTCAACACTCTACTGCAATTTTTGGAGTCCCTTTTGACATTCATTTTGGTCTTTTCCTTCTCCTCTGCTTATGTAATGATCTTTGTTCCTTCATGGAGGATCTCCTTAATGTCATTCCACAACTCATCTGGTTTTCTTATCATTCAAGTTCAAAGCTTCAAATAGATGGCTGAAATGGTTTTTAAATTCCGGTAGGACGGACTCAAGATCATATTTTTGGTTCTTGTGGATTTGTTTTCATTTGCTTCAGCTTCATTTTGAATTTGCACATGAGCAGCTGATGATGTGTTCTGCAGTCAGCACCTGGCCTGGTTTGACTGCTGATACTGTGCTTCGTCTTCGTCTGTCCATAGATGCAGCCTATCTGATTCCTGTGCAGTCCATCAGGTGAAATTCATGAGTGTCCATTTGTGTTTTTTAAAAAGGTTATTTGGGGGAAAAACATTATTTGAGATTAATAAATCATTGAATATTCATAATTCAACCACTGTCCAGTCTCATTTCTGTCACGAAGTCCGTATTTTCCATCTACCATTCCTTCTTCATTGTTTCCAAATTTTTCATCCCAGATATCAATGATTATTATTATAAATAACCTATCTTGATTGCATGTTTGGTCAATTTCATACTGCAAAAGTTGATTATTGTTGTTAGGTGCCATCAAGTCAGATACAACTCATGGCAACACTATGAACAACAGACCTGAACCCTGTCCTGTCCTGTGCCATCCTCACCATCTCTGATACACAAGAGCTCAGGACTGCAATCACCATGCCAATTCATTTCATTGAGGGTCTTCCTCTTTTCCATTACCCTCCACCTTTCCAAGTGGGCAAAATTTCAATAATGTACAGAAGATTTTAACACAGTCAGCTAAATGGAACACATTTATAGAATACACTCAAACTGGCTTTAACCTAACCAATAAAAAAGTATCAAAAACTTTCAAAAGATAGAATTCCCAAGAACATCTTCTCAATTGGGCTTATAAATAAAAATTTGTATAATGCAATGGTATTGTCAGCATGTATAAGCTAATTATTACTCTCTGTGTGTGTGTGTGTGTGTGTGTGTTTGTAAAGATAATAAATGTTGATAGGAAGAGGGAGAGAGTAAAGGAATTAGGAAAGATCCAAGGGAGATTTTAAAAGATAGGGTAGCAGAAGGCATAGGTCAATGGTGATTAATTTTATAAGACACAATGTAAAAAAAAAAGTTCATTATTTAGAACAAAATATAATGTAAATGAAAGGCTGTATGAAACACAATATACATAACACAAACACTAACTCTAACAGTTTGGGAAAACATATCAGAAAAAGATTTCTATCCAGAATATATGACAATTCCTACAATAAGTACTAAGAAAGATACATAAAAGGTCAGAAAGAACATGAAAAGGTGTTCAACACAATTAACCACAGATATGTATATCACAGACATGAAAATATACCACTTTGCTCTGAGAATGCTGAAATGAAAGACCAACTAACTGTAGGGGACAGGGAGCCGCCGGAAGTTTGCTCAAGACTGGTAAACCCACTGCCAACAAGTCAACTTCTCCTCAAGGTGACTGTCCACCTTGTGTCTGCAACTGTAAAAGCTTAATGGGAACACACTGCTCATCTTTTTCTTGAGATTGGCTGGTGGATTCAAACCTCTCACTTTTTAGTTAGCAATGCAACAATCTAAGCACTACACCACCAGAGTGCCTTGCATGACTGGCAGCAATATACAATTTCTAAAACGGATTAAATTAAAGAGATTCAACTCCCATTCTCATGGCCTGACAGAAAGGAGCAAGCTCTTTTCTGTGAGTAAATATTTACTTCAAACTCTACTGTTCTGTATTATGAAAATGTAGAAAAATGTTATTTATAATCATTTTTGAAAAAGATTTCTTAGAAAGTTAACTAAACACATAAGCCTGTATTTTTACCCTTAGATGTTTATCCAAGACAAGAAAAACATATGTCCACAAAAAGAGTTACATAAGAATGTTTGAATAGCTTTATTCAAAATAACCCCAAACTGGAAATAATCAAAGCATCCAGCAACAGATGAATGAATAAATAAATCATGATAGATTCATAAAAGGAGTGGTGTTGTTTTCAGTCTCTGTTGAGTCAACTACAACTCATAATGACCTTATAAACAATAGATATGAAGTTGCCCTATCCTGTGCCATTCTCATTATCCCTGATAGATTTGCATCCATTGCTACAGTCACTGTGTTAATCCATTTTGTTGAAGGACTTCCTCTCTTTCCCTGACCTCCCAACTTCTCAAGCATGATGTCTTTTTCCAAGGACTGACCCTTCCTAATAATATGACCAAAGTATGTGAGAAGAAGTTTCGTCATCCTTGCCTTTAAGCAGCACCGTGGTTGCACTTTGTCCAAGACAAACAAGACCTGTTTGTTCTCAGTACATAAATATTCAGTACTTCTCTCCAACATCATAATTCAAAGGGACTGATTCTTCTTCTCTCATGCTTATTCACTATTCAATTTTCATAAGCATAGGAGTTATTGGTAAGATCATAGCTGTTTTTCACTGACTATGCAATCTGACTGTGTGACTCAAAACAAACTGTGGCTGACTTTGAGAAAATTGGGAATCCGAGAACACTTGATTGTGCTTATGTGAAACCTATACTTAGACTAGGAGGCAGGTGTCAGAAAAGAGTAAGGAAACACTGCATGGTTCAAAATCAGGAAGGGTGTACACCAAGGATGTGTCCTATAGCCATATCTTTTCAATCTACATGTGGAACAGATCATCCAGGAGGCTGGTGGGCTCTATGAGAAGGAATGTGGTAGCAGGATTGGAGGTAGGTTCATGAACAGGCTGCATTATGCAGATGACACAATCCTACTTGCTGAAACTGAGGAAAACCCAAGGCATTTGCTGCAGAAGATCAAGGACTATAGCTTTCAATATGGATTAAAGCTCAACATCAAGAAAACAAATATTCTCACCACTGGGCCAATTATGAGCATCATGATAGGTGGTGAAGAGATTGAGATTGTTAATAGCTTCAGCTTGCTTGGCTCCATAATCAATACTCTTGGTACCAGCTGCCAGGAAATCAAATGATTAATTGCACTGAGGAAAATCCAGTCATGGAACCTCTCCACAGTACTGAAGAGCAATGGTGTCACTCTGGAGACTAAAGTGTGCCTGATCCAGGCCATCGTCTTTACAATTACTTGCCATGCATCAAAGAGCTGGACAATAACTAAGGGTGATAGAAGAATTGATGCCTTTGAGCTGTGCTGCTGGAGAACAGTATTGAATATACCATGGACTGCCAAGAGAACAAACAGGTCCAGGATGCTCCCTGGAGACAAGGATTTTGAATCTCCGTCTGACATACTTTGGACATGTTGCAAGGAGGGACCAGTCCTTGGAGAGGGACTTGTTGAACTCCCATTCTTCTCAGTGCTTGGAAGGGTGGATGGACAGCTCAAGAGAGTAAGACCCTGGATGAAATATATTGACTCAGTGACTAGGTTAATGGGAGTAGGTGTGTCAGAGAAAATAAGGTTGGCTCAGAATAGAGCAGGGTTCAGAGCTGTTGTACATAGGGTCGTTATAAGTTGCAGGTGACTCAAATGGCACATATTAACAAAATACATTGTAAACTTAAATTCCGTAGTGCTTTTGTTGAGTGTTGCTGAGTCACTTGCAAAGATTCACAGCCCTGTGTTACAAGGCAGAAGTTCCCCATAGAGCTTCCTATGCTGTAATCTCTATAAATACAGATGGTCAGGCTCAAGCACGGTGGGCTGAGAGGAACAAATGGACTGATGGGACAAGTTAAGGCAAAGATAAAAACAAAACCCGATGGCCAGGTCTTTGCTCCATGGAATCACTGGTTAGGGATAAACTGCCAATCATTTTGTCAGCAGACAAGCGTTTAACTGCTGCTCCACACCAACCAAACCAAACCTACTGCATTCCCTTCAGTTCTACCTCATGCTTACCCTCCACTGTGCTCCCAAAGCTGTAAATATTAAAAGGTGCAGGCTGCCCGATCTTTTCTCCCAAAGTGCTTACTGTATTTGAACTACCAACCTCTCGATCAACAGCCCAACATAAAACGCACTATACCACTAGAGCTTTCTATTGTAACACTAAACTCAAAAGTCAAATGTCACTGCAATCAAGTTGAAACCTACTCACAGCTGACTCTCCAGCAAGGTTTCAGAGGTTACAAAAGGCACAAATGGAGAAGGCCCATCTTCCTCCCCGGAAGCAGGTGGTGGATGCAAACTGCCTGCCTTTGGTGTAGTGCAACTCCCCACCCTCCAGGCCACCAGAGCTCCTAGTTACACCACCTGGGCCCCACAAATGAAATCTAAAATACTATAAGATGCATAATGGTACAAATTCAAAAACAGACAACTAACACTTCTCAAAGACTAGGTGAGAACTAATAGCAAACCAGGAAAAAAAGTATGTATGTGGATCAGGTTACAGAACAATGACAGGGATGTGGTATACTGTGTTATGTAGTGTACTGGTAACTGGAAGGCTGGAGGTTGGAATCCTTTGGAATCCGCTCAAATGGAGAATGATGAGCAAAGCTCCTTTTAAAGATTTACAGCCTCAGAAATCCAATGGAAGGTCACCATAAATTGATAGCCATGGTTTTATATATTTAATCTGCTATAAATGACCATAAGACACTACTTTAAATGAGCAAATGATCTAAATAAAAGGCTTGCTTCTGACTTAGAATAAAACAGAAGAATAAAAATAGCAGACCCTTTTAAACCCATGCTCCTCTCCTTAGCTCACCAGTGACGTGCTGATAGCGAGTGCGGCCCAGCATGGAATGCATGGCATGTCCCATCTCGTGGAAGAGATTTTCCATCATTCCCGGGGTCAGTAAGGTAGGCGAGCTGCCTGCCGACTGGGGAAGGTTCAGCATGAGAACAACGACCGGGAGCTGATAGTCGCCGTTCTCTGTTAACCGGCCTCCTCGGATGGTGAAATGACAATCCTGGATGACCGAAAACATAAGAGAGTGCACCCTGTCATCAGAACCAAGACACGAAGCCCACCACAGCCAGGCTGATTCTCACTCATAGTAAGCCACTGACAGGGCTGAAGAGCCCCTAGGGTGCCCAAGCCTGTCATCTTTACAGGAGCAGCTGGTGAATTCCAATTGCTGACCTTTTGGCTAGTAGCTGAGTGCTTAACACTGCATCACCAGGGCTCCTCATTCCAACCTCAAACTCTCCCCAAGTTGAGTCAGTACTACTAAACCCTGACCCTACAGTGGGTTTTTGGAGGGCAAGAAATCACACAAGCTCTGGTGGCTTAATGGGTAAGGAGTTGTGCTTCCAACCCAAAGGCTGGCAGCTCAAATCCACCAGTGATCTGAGGATGAAAGAAGGGCAATCTTCTCCCATGAGATTCAAAGCTCGAAAAATGAACTGGAGGGTCCATTATGAGTTGGTTCTGACTTTAACAGCATGTAACAACAACATATAATAACAGAGGAGATTGCTCACCTTTCTCCCAAAAAGTGGCTGGTGGACTGAAAGAAACTTCAGAGAGGCAATAGTACAACTCCCTAGAGACTACACCACCACAGAGGACTATTATTTGTGCTGTCTTGTATAAACTTAATGTTTAACATTTCCCATTAAGTTGTATGAAACAAACCGCTGACTGACAAATCTGGTAAGCAGCCAACAAATACAGTAAACGACCAATCTATTTTTCCACAGAAACAAACAGGTGTCTGACATGGTTTCCGGGGCAGCCTATCCTCCACAACATAGTCAAGAGCTGGGACTCAAGTCAGAATGTGTAGGTTCCAAACCCCGCACTTCCAGCTGTGTGATTCTGAGTAACTCAGCCTCTCTGTGCCTCTATTTTCCACGATCATAACGAATTCTTCAAAAGATATGTGTATAGGGTGCTCAGTGCACTACCTGACACGTGAGGGAGCTTTAAAACATCACCTAGCCTTCTCACTTTCACTGTTAAACACTCCAGATAAGAGTAACAGATACAGATTCATGTGATTATTGTCATAAACTTCATTTTAAATTTATCCTGGATTCAAGTCTATATTTTCATTCATTATAATTAATTCCTCTAAAATATTTGCAACACAAGGATGAAATATGAAGTCCACATAAATGCAACTCAACTACTGATCACTTTGACATAAACTAATTTATAAATGCAAACTCACCTGATGTGGTTTGCCTGCTCGCTGGAAAAAATCACAGTAAATGTATCCCAATAATCCTTCAGCTTCATGAACCACAGCCTAAATGGGAAAATAGATTTAGTGATGAAGAGGGTCATCAGAGACTGTGAAGTAAGTAATAAACATTACACACACACACACACACACACACACACAAAGAGATGTTGTTGCTGTTATGTATCATCGAATGGGAACTGATTCATAGTTGACCCTCCAGCAGGTTTTCAGAGGGGAGTGCCCATCTTTTTTCTATGAAGCAGCTGGTGAATTCAAGCCATGTGCCTCTGGGTTGGCAGTACAATTCCATAGCACTAACCCATCAGAGCTCATTCATGTAGCTGTTGCTGTTGTTGTTATGTACCATCAAATAGGAACAAACTCACAGCTGACCCTCCAGTAGGTTTTCAGAGCATAAATCACACAAGAGCAGACTGTCCCATCTTTCTCCCATGAAGCAGCTAGTGGTTTTGTACTGTGTACTTCTGGATTGGCAACAAATTCCATACCACTAAGCTACCAGATACACATATTTTTGTTATGTGCCTTTGAGTCACCTGTGACTCATAGCGACGCTATGTACAATAGCCCTAAACCTTGCTCTATCATGTGCCAATTGCACTGTCTCCGACATATCTACCTTGAATACCCAAGTCACTGAATCAATCCACCTCAGAGAGTCTTGCTCTCCTGCACTGTCCCTCGACCTTCCCAAGCATGACATCCTTCTCCAAGGACTGGTCCCTCCTTGCAACATGTCCAAAGTATGTCAGATGAAGCTTCAGAATCCTTGCCTCCAAGGAGCAGCCTGGCTTAACCCTATCCAGGACGAACTTGTTTGTTCTTCTAGCAGTCCTTGTACTCAATACTCTTCTCCAACACCACAGCTCAAAGGCATCAATTCTCCTTTTATCCTCCCTAGTCATT